CAATAATTGTAGCCATAAAACTCCTTTCACTTTATTTAAAGGATATTGTTTAAGCTTTTAATAGAATATACTGATGAAATTCATAAGTCAACTCCTAAAAAAGAGAAAGAAATAATTAGTTTATTAATAAAGAAAAAAAAATTAAAAAAAAACTATCTGATCCTTTAAATGGTAAGGAGTTCTATCAATAAAGAATTTTTTTGACACTAAACTTATTTAAAACTTTATAACTTACACTTAAGAAGAATCTGGAGAGTCAAAATATAACTTTATTTGATTCCAACTATTTTTTGTCAAAAATTCTTTGTAAAGCTAAATAATATAAACGTACTATACTTATTTTCGTTTTATAAGAAGGTTTCAAGTGTTTATAACTTCTGGATTCCTCCTCCAATAGCCAGATTTCTGTAATACGTTTAAACAAGACCTGAAGAATCAATTTTTTTTATCATCCTTTGCTATTAAATTTTTTGTGGCATAATTAAAATAAATTAGTACAGCTATCATATGCATGTGTGATATATATAATATCCAGCTAATAAAATACATATCTATATACAAACAATTATGTCAGTATTACGTCATTTAAAAATTACTAGAAAATATGAATTTTAGTTATTTATTATGGCGCCATAACAGATAATTTATTAAATAAAAAACTAAAAATAATATATATGCCGATCATCATGTGATTATTCAAAAATCGGAAAGCCTGCTATGTTACTTTAAATATAATATAAAAAATGTACAATTAATCAATAAAAATTTAGTAATTATAGTAATTTTAATTGATAATACACAATTTAATCTTACACTTATGTTTTTATATTTTCCAAACATATATCAATTCAAATTAAATAAATAAATAAACATTTATATAATAAAAAATTTTTTTATTGGCATTTTGTTGAGGTACGAATTTTTTTGCACTGGTCCATAATTTTAAAAATAATATCAGATATATAATTATTTATTTATTATAATATTTTATACTATAAATTTAATTACAGCATATATTAATAAAAAACTATACTAAAAATATATATACTAAATATTTATTTGTATTAGGAAGAAACCTAATGTATTTGAACAAAAGAATTATATTAAAATATATCAAAAAAAAAAATTATTATTTTTCTTTTTTATCCTTAGATAAGGATTTTTTTACCCATCTATCTAATTTTTTTTTATGGATATTCCACAAATTTTTAATATCATTTTGCGCACGAAGTTTTCCAAAATCTTCCAAGATTTTAGTTTGTAAAGTTTTCCAAGGTACTTTTTTATTACTGGTTTTTAAATGTTGCTTTACCCATTTAAAGATGAATTCCTTCTCATCATTGCTAAATGGTATGTTTTTGTTCAAACAAACTACAATAAAAAAGGTATTCAGTTTTTTATTTTTTATTTTTAACTGATGTAATTTACTTACGTCTAGGATTCAGTTTATTAGCCCAACTAAGTTTTTAAATGTAAAATTAAAATCATGATTTTTTTTTTTTTTAAAAAAAAAAAGATTATTTAATGAACTTACTAATGACTAATTTGTTTAGGAGTGTAAGGAATTCTTGTGCTTAATATTGCAAAAGGTTTTCTATTAGGTTTTCCACTATCAATCCATTCATTCATATATTTGAGAATAGTATCTTCACTCTAAAATAATGATAATAATAAGTCAAATTTAAAAGGAAATTCAAATTAAAAACCATTTGTTTAACATACTTCTTTATCAAATCTATTTAATTTTTTGGGTTGACAATCCATAATTTCTAGTAGGAAAGGTGAAGAAATTTTATTTTAAAAAATTTTTTGAATTTAATATAGGTTAAATTCCCTAGACGGTTCATTTTCACCCTTTTTTATATCTAAAATTTGTTACCATATTAAGACTACGTATAATGATTTTTTTGTAACAAATAACCATAAGAAGTCATATCTCTTATTTGTTAAAAAGACACCGGTTTTCTTTGTATTTCATGAAACACTCGTTAATGGAACCTATAGATTCATTAAACTTTTTCATTATATGAATATATATATGCTAAAGAATAAATATCATACGGTCATGCGTTACATCATATTACCAGATTTAAGAAAAAAGTTTTATTAAGTACGTGCATAAGGGAGTCGAATTTGAAATTTAATCTTTTCTCGGTAATACATGATTATTTGTTTAAATCAGAGATAAATAAGCAAGTATTTGAACTATCGATTCAAAGCACAGATCTTCAATTTTTTTGGGGTGGGAAAAAGTTCTTTCAGCAAAAATTTATTATGATGAAAGTTGCTTTCTTATGCAACTCATGTAATTTTTCTAATTTTATACAAATCATAAACGAAACGCCCAAATTTTCTTATGAAATTATTTTATTGATTGTTTAAAATAAATAAATATTTATAATGCAATATTTTCTGGCGGTTTAATTTATTTTTTCCGTTTTTTATGTTTACATTGACGTTTAATTAAATGGAATAATTCCTGTTATTGTTGGAACGAAATCCTGTTATTGTTCACCGAATGGATCTATACTTCCGCTATCATAGTAGCTAATCCATTTTTGTTTAAGTCCCGTTTAGAGATGAAAGTGAAAGGGAAATGAAAAATTACCGAAACTACGAATACGTACCGGAAGTTGTCGTTATATGCTTCTCGCCATTCTTTTCTTGCGCTAATTTGTGGCTTTTTTTTTATTAATTTATTTCACGACAGAGAAACAAAAAAACTCATCCAAGGTATTGGGGTAATTATTTTATTTGCCTACTGTATCGTAATTTCCCGATTTAAATCTCATCGGTTTACTTACATGCATCGGTTTACTTACATACATCGGTTTACTTACATACATCGGTTTACTTACATACATCGTGTTACCTTACATACATCGGTTTCCTTACATGCATCGTCTCTCACGATCACGTTATCTCAAAATTTTTCGTTTTTTTGGAATTATCTTTATTTATAGAACCTTGATTTATCATGTGCAATCTAAATTAGGGACGTTGATTTACTAACCAATTAAAATAAATGCGCGTATTTCTAACTCTCATGAGTAAGCATTTTTGAAATCATGACTAATCATGAATAGAAGATATATAAATATATCATCTATGACACGAATCAAAATAAAATTGACAAGAGGCAGAATTTTTAATTTTTTTAAAAGAAGTGAAATAAAGATTTATAGAATTATATATGTCACTTATAATGATTAAAAATTTTTCAAAACTTTAAAAAAATTAAAAGTTTACAACTCTAATCTGTAACTATATTAAACTACTAATTAGATTTTTAAGAAAGATTAAAATAAAAAGATTATTAGTTGTGATTGCTGTGATTAACCTCAATTTAAACCATATAAATGCAATTTTATTAGTCAAAATTTTCATTCCTAAAAGATCTTTTGTGCAAGAAGAACTTCAAATCATTCCTTTTGACACAGAATTACCACCTTAATGGGTACTTACGAGTTAAAATAGTCTTCTGCCTCCTCATCTAATTGTTCTTCCTGACTTTGGCTAATTTATAGTATAACTTGTATAGATCCATGATCGCATTAAGAATTCTTATAATTCTTTAATGCCAATCCAAGTTATTGTTAAATCATTAAAATTTATTATATATATGTAAGAATAATATTAGTTAAAATAGCCAAATTGTACTTTTTTTTTATTAAATATATTTAATTAAATTCACAATACTTTTACATACTATTCTATATGTAATATAATTAAATCTTAATTTTATTGGGTTTCAAAAAATTTGAAATATAGATTTTTAGTACTATAGTATTTTTTTAATAATTATCTTTATACTACTATTTTATATTTTATATTAAATTTTTTTAGCAAGAAATTGGATTTGAAAATTTAATTAATATTTTTCTATAAATAATAGCTGATAATAAAATAATTTATTATTTTAAATAAAACTATCATAGTAAAATTATAAAAATAAATACCTTTTTTTGCAATCATATAATTAATAAAATTGATAGAAGTACTATTTATTTTTATAACCTTTATAATAATCTTTTTTTTATGTATCTAAAAAATATACTTTATTTTTTTAAAAAATAGTTACACTAAAAAAAAATATTTCTATAAAAATAAGTGTAAAATTACCATTTCTTTAAATAAATGCAAAAGTTTTTCTTTTGTACTTTTGTTTTAAAGCTAAAGTCTAAAGTTTATTTTCTATAAAACCGTTTATTATAAAATAAATATTATAATAAAAAATATGGTATTGGTAATGGTAATACTAATAAGAAACTTTGTATATAAATTATAATAAATGATAAATAGTCTTTTATTTTAACTTAGAAGTATTTGTACTTATTTATATTTGTAATTTTTTTTTACTTTTGTTAATAAATGTGCAGTATATTCAAAAAAAAAATACTAATAAGAAATATAATTTTTATATTTTTACTATTTTTGATTTTTAGAAGTACTTATAAAATATTTATAAGGTACTTATTTTTAATTTTTATAAATACTATTGCAAATCAACAAAAATACTTATTTTCAAAGGATGCTTATTTTTACAATTTTATGATAATTAACTAGTAAATTTAGGTATTACTTTAGATTTTCAGGTTTAATATTTTAAATTAATTAGTAATTTCCATTTTAAATTAATTAAATAAGAATTTTTAAATTTTTTCTTAATATTACTCTTAAGTAAATAATAATAATATATGACAGTTTATAAAAGAATATAAAAGTTAGAAAATATAATTCAACCCAGTTTAATTACTTTGATATTTACTTTTAAAATGGATAGAATTTAATTTATTACTTTTAATAAAATTTACCAGAATTATAAGGTAAAATTTATATAAGAAAATTTTAAAAATCCTACTATATATAAATCACTGGTCAAAAACCAATATATCAGGTAGCAGATATGTATCAGATATGTACCCGATAT